ACCAGCTCGTAACCGGAAGTTGACCGGAGTGATAGAAGAGGTGCTCGGAGCAGAATCAAGTCCAATGAAAACGGTTACATCGGGAGGATTAAACCGAGCTGGAAGCTCTGTCGGGGGAGGAGTAGAGCGAACGGCAGACCACTTCGAATTCTGATCGCCAATCTCGAAATCGTGCTAGGTTTCAGCATTTTAGCGTTCTTAATCATCTTCTTCAGCATTGAACATCTGATGAATCAAGCCGAAGAAGCTCAGACGGCTAGGGTTGTCACTCCGTTTCCTGCTCCCAAGATCATGGACCTGTCTCAGGCAGAGCAAATGCTTTAATTTTGTATATCCTTTTTTGGTTTGTTTTAGTCATTGGCGCTGAAAAATGGATGATTGGCTCGCTGTGACAGTTTCAAGGCGAGCACAAAGAGAGCTTGTATTGGAGAACCTATCGTCCTCATGTTTATTCTTTTTTTTTGGATAAAATGTGAAAATTATATTTATCCATAAAACTATATGTACAAGAAGTTCAGCAGCAACTTGTTGCTACTACAAAACAAAAAACTCGGCTCTATACAACGATCTCAAAAACCCCATTTTAAAGCAATTGATGCACTTAAAATAGAGGAAAAAGGCCTAGCATTTTCCAAAATTTTGTGTCTCGCGTCAAAACAAATCTCTTCACACACTACATCTGTTGTCTTGTAGACATGTTGGTGGATTCTCCTGTTCCTTTCCATCCAAACATGGTAGACTGCAGCATTCCACATTAACTTGATGAGTGTTTGATACAAAGACTTTCTTCTTATTCGTTTCCCCATCCATAACACAAGCTTTTGCCAAGAATCCAGATAAGGAATTTCAGACATGGCACTCAAACTCTTCCACACACATTTTGCATAGCTACACTTAAAGAAGAGGTGCTCAACAGTTTCTGATCCATTGTTGCATAGGACACAAGTGTCATCTATGTTAGGGGACCATTTCTTCTACCTTGCTTTGGTTGTTAACCTGTCCAATATGGCTAGCCAACTAATAAAGCTATGTTTTGGTATTTGCCGAGAAAACCAAACCAGCCTATGCCAAGGAACCTTGGACTGCTTACTTTTGATCCAATGCCATGTTCTTCCTGCAGTGTATGTCCTTGAAGCTGAAGGGATCCATATAACAGTATCCTTGTCCCTTTCCTTAGGATATAGTATGTCACATAAAGCAATTTGAATGTCCAGCAATTGAGGTGAGCGAGCTGGTGGCCATTTCCAAAAATTACCATTAACCACTACCTCCAGCTTGGCTTGGGAAGAAAACCCAGAATCTTGGATAATTCGTGCACCAAAATTTTCAACTAGAGGCCTTGAAGGGTGCTAGTTATCATGCCACAAATATATGTCCTTTCCATCACTTGGAATGTGTTTAATAAGTTTCCTAGCTTGCTGTCTAAGATTGAGGAGTTTCCTCCAACCCCATGATGCATCAGAAGGAACTCTTATAGACTAGAAACTACAGCTCTTCAACAGATATTCATGGACCCAAGCCACCCAAATAGATCCAGCTTTTGTAAAGAGCATCCAAATAAATCTCATAATACATGCTACATTCCAATGCATCAGACTCCTCAAACCCATACCACCCTCCTGCTTAGGGTGACACAATGACAGCCAATTCACTTTAGCCCCTCTTGCAGACTAAGTTAAGCTTTGCCATAAAAATGCAGCACATAACCTTTCAGCCTCCTTTATAACCTTCTTTGGTAATATGAAGGTAGAACACCAAAAAGTTGTTATTCCCTGGATGACAGAAGAGATAAGCTATAGTCTACTAGCAAAAGACAAATGCTTAAAGGCCCAAGAGCTCATTCTTTCTGTTATCTTTGAAACCAGAGGCTTTAAGTCCTTCTCTGTCAATTTTCCTATGATTAATGGCACTCCAAGGTACCTCACTGGGAGGACACCAGCCTTGAACCCATAAGCTGCTGTTAATTTCTTAATTTCCTCACTAGATATGCCATAGCTAAAAATCTCAGATTTGGAATAATTAACAGTGGAGTTAATACCATACCGTATCGGTTGGTACGGTCGGTACGTATCGGTTTTGGCACTTGACCGAAATGGTATAACGTCAATTTTCGTTTCAGTCAAATTTCAAGCATTTCAGTCAAAATTTGATGTACTGGTCGAAATTTCAGTGTATCGGCTGGTTCACCGAAATTTCGGCCGGTACACACTGCAAATTAAAAAAAAAAAAAAAA